AGTTGAACTCAGGGATAGGAGATGTCTCATTCTGTGTTAGCGCGTTAACACTGTGTGGTTGCTCTGACATAGAGTACATATTATACTAACGTTTAGTTTTTTGATTTGTATGTATTGAGCATTTTATGGTTTTTGTCCTCGCTTTTGTTCTGCATATTTCGTTTCTCCGAAGCAAGCAGAAAACTGGTTAGGAAAATTGCGATTGCCCGATTCTGCAAGACATGTCTGGGTTAGCTGCTCCTCTGCGTTCAATCCTTCATCGTGTGGCTTGTGGTACTCTGTTTTCAGGTTAGAGAGTAAGCAACAGGCAGATGGATAAAAGATCTATGATTACCTTTTTATTCTAAGAAAGGTATATTACACTCTTTTCATTGCTCTATATGTAGATATTTTCGGTGGCACTTATGCTTGTTTGAGGGCATGTTTTCAGCACGGGTGGAGGCGAGAGACGAGACAGCAAATCATTTATTTGAGATCGACCTGTTTTCAAGGTCTCTTTATTGCAAACTAACATGGCTACAGAAAGTAATAATTCGTTGAAATCTTAGGTCAAAGCCGTTCCTATACATGCGAGAGCGACATAGTAAGAGTGTTCGATAGGTCAACAATTTATTAGTATTTTTAATACAAAGCATAATTAGAATGTTGTATTTTTATTTTGATTATTTTAATAAGTAATACAATAAAGAAAAGAGTTTTAAAAAAAGTGAGAGAAAAAGTTGGAATACTGTGCAATACTGAGTTATATATTTACAAGTTATTGGAATGATATATTAGATAATAGATAAATAATTACTAAGTAGCAGATGAATGTTATGAAATTGTTTCAGCAGTTCAGTCGTTTAACAGTCTTATTGCCTGCGGGATGAAGCTGTCTCTGAAACTTCTAAAATACACAACATGTTTATTATTGCAGACATGACCATTTCTCAGGTAATGGTATAACTCATGAGCCAATTGCTTTCTTTTTTATGTTTAACAATATATGATAAGTGTAACATTGTGAGAATTAGGCACCTGAAGTGCCTACTTTTTAAAAACAACAACAAGAAGGATTGTTTTGCAGACAAAAAGGAATTTAAGCTGACGCTTTATCAACAGCAATGTGCAATTAACCATAAAACATAAAAAACTCAGACCAACAAGAAACATAGCAGGTGCATCCGCTTCAAAGCCAACCCATTTTAAGTGCTACATATTCATACATGTTATGGTCAAGTACAAGCAAAACAGGCTGGTTTTCAGTGTGCAATGGAAAATGTGTAGCCTTTCTGCTGTCCTGTCTGAGGTAAATTAAAGCATGGTACCAGTAAAGGTCATTTAAATGTTGAGGTTTTCAAATGAACTCTCAGACACTGACTGAAACCCCTGCATATATTTACACATCACATAACACACATCACAAATGTTTTGTTGCACACCAAAGGGGCTTTTATTTGTTGTAGCAACAACTCTGCATTTTCTTCTTGCATCAATAGCTGCTTTCACACCAAGTACTTTGCCGTACTTAGTTCCCAGTGTCACTACCCGATCTGCAGCTCTGCCCGATCTGCAGTGCGCATGTGCGAGATGGTCCGCCATATTGGACAACTCTGGACGGCAACCCAAGTAGGACACTTGACACAGTGGCTTTTGGCAAAGCTCAAAAAGAAAACTCGAGAGGGATGAGTTATTGTTATTACAACGTGACTTCACTATTATTTAACAACTCTTTTTATTGGGTTCTTTTATTTGGGGTTAAGTACATTGTCAGAATAAGTGAGAAATGAATTTAACTTCTGTTAGACAGCTATCATACTGAATAAATATTTACTGTGAATGTATACAAAAATCATAGGCAAAAATGTATGGCATATACTGTTTGCCAAAAGCCACTGTGTCAAGTGTCCATCTTGGGTTGCCGTTCGGAGTTGTCCAATATGGCGGACCATCTCGCACATGCGCAGTACAGATCGGGCAGAGCTGCAGATCGGGTAGTGACAGTGACAAAACCCAGTACTTAGTCCCGCTGAACTCTTTATTCCCGGAACTGTCCTAGTAAATCGCGTTCACACCGGAATAAGTCCCTGAGGGAGGATTACGCAAATAAAGCCGCTGACGTCACTTCTTCTTCTTCTTCTGCTTTACCGGCAGGCCGCAAACAACTTCACGGTGTATACTGCCACCCGAAGTCCCGGAGTCCCCCGGAGTAGGGGACTGGCTTCAGTAGAAGCTGCTGGGTCGCGTCTTCCGAGTAAATCGCCAGAAGCACCGACACCTCCTCATAATTCCACCGCTCCCACATTCTATTTTGCGTTGCCATAAGTTAGTCTCTCTCCGTTGGGCTAATGCTAATAATGCTAATGCGAGCAAATAAAATGGCGGCTTCACACAACTTTTTGGAGTTTTACGAGGCATGGTTTGCAATTCGCCCAGCCAATCAGAAATTGGAACCTTTTCCTCCCCAGGAAAGTACCACCTCTCGAGCAGGGACTGAAAAGGGGTGAAAAGGTTCCTCGGAACTATTCCTGGGAAAAGTACTCCGGTGTGAAAGAGCCTAACGCTTCCATTCCGCAATTCGACATGTACTATAAGCTGGGTAATAGGGCTGTCCTGAATACCATTTTTCGGGAGTTAGTGCTGTTGACAGGAAGTTGTTGTTACTATGGAAACAACGTGAGGGAGATTAACGGAAAAAAAGTAATATCTACATATAGATATAATATAAAGACGGAGAAAGTAAACCATAACGTTTATGGTTAAGTGTTAGCACCCCCCGAAGAGACACAAGCTCTTACGTTGATATTGGAGTTTTCAATAAATTCAATTTGGCAGCCGCAGTGCAGCGCGGCTGCCAAAAAAAACGAATATCCGAATAACGAAATTGAAACAGTAGTACAGAGTAATAGTACTCCAACGAACGAATATTCGGATATTCGGGTACAGCCCTACTGGGTGACACATTTTTTTACTACGTTTAGAACCTCCACAATGTTTTATCACCATTAATTGAGCGTATAAGGATATTGGAAAATATATTGGAAAAATAACACTCAAAGTTATTTTTTTTGTAATGACCACTTTTTTGTTGTGCGAGCTCATCAATGTATTTCAGATAAGTTATACCAAACACCAATCCAATGTGTGACTACGTGTTGTCTCTTTCAGCTTCCAGTGAAAATGACCTGGACTTGAAGTTTTGTGGCTTGTGGCAACACGGTAAGGGCAGCCTGAGTCTGAACGTCAACCTCTCCAAAGGCTGCAGCGGGATCTCAGTCTCAGCCAATGAGAGCGCTCTGTCCATCGAGGGCCAGATCACAGCTCAGTGTAAACGGGACAATAAGATCCAGCTTGGACTGAATTTGAAGGAGGAAACTCCCTTCTGTCTGTACTGGGACCCATTGCTGGACCACTTGATGCTGCAGGTAAATCAGAAAAGAAGGAGGCTAGCAGCAGATTTGTTGAGCAATTTCCATGCAGTGGAATCTAACCCTGGCTTTTATTTTTGTTGTACAGGTGGGAGGAAAGAACCTCACTCTGTGCTACCCTGCCAGCCTAAAGGGTTCTTCCTGCTGCACCGATCTGTCTGACGGTCCCAACGCAGACCAAGCCCCCTACGGCATCAAGAATGGAACCGTCAAAACTGATATCATCTCCTCTAAAACACGAACTCACTACAATTTCACAGCACAACCCATCAACTGCAGTAAGAGAGAATGTTATCTACAGCTCATATCTGTCTATATGTAAATTCAGATACTCAGTGTTTTGTTGTATCTTATTGTTGTTATTTGTATTCATACTGCTACTTATCCCTGCGGGAGGTGTTATCTGTGTTTCATTTTGTTATTCTGTTGCTGCTTTGACACAAACTTTCCCCACAGGGATTAATGATGCTCTATCTTATATTTTCTTTTCATTTTCTATCTTATCTTATTTATTTTCTGATTGTATATACATTTTCTGTATGGTTTTATAGGTCACTGCTTGTTAAAATGTTCCTTGTGTCCAGGGTGAATTTGATCCTTTAAAGATTTTTAAAATTGTCTTTAGAGTCATACAAACTCAAATTCCAATGAAGTTGGGACATTAAGTAAAACGTAAATAAAAACCGAATACAATGATTTGCAAAAACTTTTAGACCTAAATTCAATTGAGTACACTACAAAGATGAGATACTGTAATGTTCAAACTGATTAACTTTGTGAACAGGTTAATTGGAAACAGGTGAGTGAAGAGGAAAAGGACCATCCAGATTGTTATCAGCGCAAAGTTCAAAAGCCAGCATCTGTGATGGTATCGGGGTGTGCATGGGTAACTTGCACATCTGTGAAGGCACCATTAATGCCAAAAGGTACATACAGATTTTGGAGCAACATGTGCTGCCATGAAAGAGACTTCTCTTTCAGGGATGTCTCTGCTTATTTCAGCCAGACAATGCCAAGCCACATTCTGCACATGTTACAACAGCGTGGCTTCGTAGTAAAAGAGTGGAGGTACTAGACTGGCCTGCCTGCAGTCCAGACCTGTCTCCCATTGAAGATGTGGGGTGCATTATGAAGCGCAAAATACGACAACGGAGACCCCGGACTGTTGAGCAACTGAAGTCGTACATCAAGCAAGAATTGGAAAGAACTCCACCTACAAAGCTTCAACTATTAGTGTCATGAGTTCCCAAACGCTTAGTCAGTGTTGTTAGAAGGAAAGCTGATGTAACACAGTGGTAAACATGCCCCTGAACCAGCTTTTTTGGAACGTGTTGCAGGTATCAAATTCAAAATAAGTTAATATTTGCAAAAAAACATGAAGTTTATCAGTTTGAACATCACATATCTTGTCTTTGTAGTGTATTCAATTGAATATAGGTTGCAAAGGATTTGCAAATCTCTGTATTTTTATTTTCCGTTTTACACAGCGTCCCAACTCCATTGTAATTGGGGTTTGTATTTCAAGTGTCATGTTTTAACGTTTTAAATCCCCAGCTGTGCTTTTTTTGTTGCAGAAATGTTATGTGATCAACAGAGCCAGCAATCCACCAGAGGCAACATGTAATTTCCTCTCTTTTTTTCTCCTAACGCACCGTCACAGTAACCGTCAACATCCTTTGTCACATGGCGTTGTGTTAATTTCTAAGGCCTCTTTAGTGAAGCCTATGTAATGAAATGCACTACAAACAGGAAGCTAAACTGTATACTATTTTAGGGTGGGGGGGGGTTACAAAAATATGCTTGCTCCTTTACCATCGAAAACCACAGTTTTTAACGTAGTATCATGGTGTGTGTCCAGGACTGAACGGGCTGCGGTGAAGTCCTTTGCTGGTTGGAACATCGAGCATCCCTGTGCTCGCAGCTCCGAGGTGGAGATGATGGAGGATTTCAGAGGCGTCAAGGTCACATCGCCTGTAAGATAAAGCTCCTGATTCAAAGATATAATGGATTTATTGTCGTTTGCACAACAGTTGCAGTGTAGTACTAAAGACATTAAAATAAATAAAGATGTTAAATAGTGCAAGTGAGATGCCGGAACAAGTTAATTTTGTACACGCATAATCAAATAAGACGAGACATATTGTAACATCAAATACTGTACAGTAGAACAATTACTTAGATGTAGACTGTTATCAAATGTAAGTGACTTATATCTTCTTTTTGTCAGCACATTACAGACCTTATTCATGTTTTAAAAGCTCAGTGTAACGGCGAGTTAGAAAATAAATATAACAGAAAATGTACTTAAAACTAAAAGTATTTCTGAGGCACCAGCTAGCAAATCGTATGCAGGGAAAAAGATCCAAAGTCCAGGCAAGAATGTCTTTTTGTGCACTTTATTCCAAGAAACAAAAGGGTTTATCATTATTGCCTTGCATCACCAGGTGCCCAAAATGCGGGGCCCAAAACCACCTTCAAAATAAAAGCATATAGAATGACTTTAACTAAAATAATTACAGTAAATAATAATGACATTACAAATTATAAATAAACATATAGCTCCAACACGCACATTCAAAGACGTGTAAAGTAAATGGTTCTAAAGAAAACAAACTTTCTACAAGGTCCATTTGTTTGCTTTTTATCGAGTCATCGACTCATCATAGGATATTGTACATAAGAGCTTTTTCTTAGGTCAAGAAAAACTTCACACTTCAGAATTTCCACTGAAAAGTCGTGTCACAGCCACATCAGCAGGATTTCGTAACAGTGTTTCCATCTTAGTTTCATTTTAGCTGCATATCCAAAAAATGACACTAATTTCCTGGGACACAACAGAAACTGAAACGCATTACTTATGTATTTCCTTATGCATGCTTTGCTGTAAATTGAAAGTTTGTATAAGCAATCGTTCATAACACTGAAAGTAAGTGACTTCATGTCAGAAAACAAAGACAGCTCCATAAAGATGAATTAAGAAGTTCAATTGTATTTGAACAGAAAGCATGTCCGGGTAGAGACAGTAAAGGATTTAGTTATTTCCGAAATTGTTAATTAATTCAGTAAAAGTGCCATTGACTTGTCTCTACTCTACTATATTACAGGTCAGCTGAGTGGGCAGCATCTCTGTGACTGTGCACGTCCATCTTTAATCAGAGGCTAACTTTATAGCAGGTTTCAAACTCAGTAAATGGGTAACTTTTGACATTATATTTAAGTCAAGGGTGGTGGTGATTTAGTTGAGAAAATAGGTGAGAGGGTAACCACATGAAAGTGAACGATACAAGCATTTTACTGACAAGTACAGGACAGATTTTGGAAGCTGGCATTTTTCCTTCCTAACTATCTTAAAATAGGGCCATTTGTGTTAAGTGCCCAGCAATCCACATGCAGATGTACTCATTACAACTCTCACAAGCAGAGCAGAGGCTGCTTCAACTCATTGATTTAGCTCCAAATATGTTTGACATTGTTCCTGCATCCTGTATTTATTGAAATATGAAGAACTGGTGTTCTGTTTATGGTTAAGGGATATCCAGTTCACTTTTCTTGCAGTTACTAAAATTGACCCACTCTAACTTTTCAATGTATTGGTCCTTTTCTCTGTTTTCAGTTCTCTAAAGGTGAATCTGCAGAGTCCGCTACCACTGTCCACCTCCCTCCCGCTCTCAAAGAAGCTGCAAAAAAGTCAAACAAAGTAGTCTGCACTTTCTTCCAAAATAACTCTTTGTTCCAGGTAAGGCTCTGATTGCACGCACCTTTCTGACTGCATGAATCACGCGAGCATGAAACACTTAAAGAGGACATTTTATGCCCATTTTCAGGTTCATATTTTTGTTGCTGTTGTTGACACCTCGCCTAGCTTTGCATGGTGGGATCAATCTAGTCACACATTAGATTTTTTCAAAAATCAAATTGACTTTGTAATCAGATTTAGGAATAAGTGAATACTTTTTCTACATTGCTATGAATCGTGCCTATTCAGAAAAAACAATATAGTGATATTGAGGAGATGAAAGCTTTTCTGAATCCGGAAGTGGAACACAATTGACAAATGTTCAATGCTGTTGCACCACGGTGGCAGTGGCTCAGTCAATTCCGGGCGGTGGCTCAGTCAGTAAGGGCTTGGACTGGGAGCTGTAGGGTCGCCGGTTCAAGTCCCCGACCAGACCTAAAATATGGAGTGTGGACTGCTACTTGGAGAGGTCCCAGTTCACCTCCTGCCCTGCCTTGGTGCCCTTGAGCAAGGCGCCGGACACCCCCCTTCCCCCCTCACTCCCAATAGCTGCCCACTGCTCCTAGTACTAGACTCCTGGTGCTAGGATGGGTTAAATGCAGAGAACAAATTTCACTGTGTGCTGTGTGAGCATTTCTATCACCTTACTAACGTGGGTGATGTGAGATGATCTTGCAAAGTATTGCATCTTTTCGAATTTCTGACAAATGTCGGGTGTGTTGTATCGTATCATATCATATGTATATCAATGTTTTTGTTTGTGTTCCAGGAGGTTGACAAGGAGGCCAGGATTCTTGATGATGTGGTGGGAATCACCGTGGAGAACGAGATCATCGCCAATCTTTCTGAGCCAATCAGGATTGCCTTTCACCATGATGTCATACCTGTACGTTTGTGTTTTCTTTAATCTCAATTGTCATTCTGAACAGTGACCACTTTATATTGTCTTAAAGATCTCCTATCATGCTATTTTTGGTATATATATATATATATATATATACAAATATGTAAAAAACATGTCTATGATGTGTTTTGCTCAAAATACTAAACGGATCATGCATTTTAGACATCCCTCATATCCCTCTATCCCAGGCCTGTTAGAGCAGTGTTTTTCAAAGTGGGGGCCCCGACCCCCCGGGGGGCCGCCAGGGGGGTCACGCAAAGTTTGAGGGAAACGGGATTTTCTTATTTTTTTTTATTAATAACTATCAATCTATGTGTCCTTTGATGCCAATCTTTTAAACATTTTTGTTTTTGTATCACAAGCCAGCGCTACTGAGAGTGAAACTGAGTATCTGCTCAGCTTTTGGAGCAAGTGAGAGCTAGTGAATGTTTCGCTCTGCAGCTGGATGAGAGCACGGATGTAGCAAATGTCGCAGAATTGCTTGCATACATCAGATTTATTTCAGAAGACAACTTTGTTGAGGAAATATTATTTTGCAAAGCACTGGAAGGTAGGACCACATGAAGAGACATTTTCCAAGTTTTAGATGAGTACATCATCTCAAATGGACTCCATTTGAGATGATGTACTCATCTAAAACTTGGAAAATGTCTCTTCATGTGGTCCTACCTTCCAGTGCTTTGCAAAATAATATTTCCTCAACAAAGTTNGTTTATCAGTGGATGTTTGTTGGAACTACTTGTAAACAGCGTTTTTCCTGACGGACACACACAACGTTGAGTCCGGTCAGGTAGTGCCTCGGGCCGAATCCCAAACCACCCCCTACACCCTACCCCTACACATTACCCCTCCGTTCGCGCGTTCGCGCGGAGGGTCCGCCACATTAAGTGCTGTTCCAAAGCAACGAGTGTGGAGGGGGAGTTGGTTGGAGTGGGTTATCAAGCCCATTGGGCCATACTGTAATTGTAGCAGTTCCTACACTAGAAACATTTTCTCTGGGCAGCATGTATGACTATTATCTCTTTCTGTCATTTGTTAAGATAATTCTTTTGAGGAACATTTTTTGACATATTTCATATTTTGAAAAACTAAAATCTAAGGCACTGAAAGGAAAATGCAGATTTTTGACACGACCATGAGTAATGTCTGCTCTTGGCACTGCAAAAAGTTGCCTCATTTTTCTTCCGTTTTCCTGGCACTATGGCCCGCTTTGATGTCCCTATGTTAAATATTGAATGTACATCCATATTTCACTAGCTGGGCCCCGGAACAAGACGGAGGGCAGGATGATAAGCATTGCCAGGGAATTGCACTTCTCTAATTGCCCAGAGTTAATCTCAGCATAGTGCCTTGACCTGTAGTAATGGAGCTGCTAGAGGCCCACGGTAAACATAAATAGGAAGGGAGGATGGGGAAATAATAATAATAGATAAATTTTGTTAGCGCTTTCTACAGGTCCTCAAAGACGCTTTACAGATATAGTGAAAAGAAAAGAACAACAATTAAGTCAAATTAAAATCAATCAATACAAAAACATTCACACATTAAAAGTCAGATTGAAGAGGTTGAGTTTTTGTAAGTTTTTTGAAGTTGGTGAGGTCAGTGCACTCTCTGATGGGTTGTGGGAGTGAGTTCCAGAGGGAGGGGCTCTGCCCTCCCAGGTCTGGTGATTGATGCGGGTGGAGATGGATAGGAAGTTGGCTTCTGATGAGCGGAGGCAGCGGGAAGGGGTGTGGTGGTGCAGCAGGTCTGTGAGGTAGGGGGAGGGGGTCTGATTGTTGAGGGCTTTGTGC